GTGCCGTGCCTCCGCCCCCCTCCTCCGCACAAAAGTCCATAGGAAATCCAAAAGAAAGCTCCCGGCTCAATCCGTCACCCGGCTGCACGACGTTACTGTGGGACAAGCTGGAGCTTTGGGTGCCCGTCCGAGGGGACACGGGTGCAGGGAATTCAACCAGGTTTTGGCCCCCATCCCCAACACAGATATGAGAGGATCATAGAATCATGGAATCATGGAATGGTTTGGGTGGGAAGGGACCTTAAAGATCATCTAGTTCCAACCCCCCTGCCATGGGCAGGGACACCTTCCACCAGACCAGGTTGCTCCAAGCCTCCTCCAGCCTGGGCTTGGACACTTCCAGGGATGGGGCATCCACAGCTTCTCTGGGCAACCTGTCCCCGTGCCTCCCCACCCTCTCTGGGAAGAATTTCTTCCTGATGCCCAATCTAAACCTCCCCGCTTTCAATTTAACCCCGTTACCCCTTGTCCTGTCACTACAGGCCCTTGTAAAAAGTCCCCCCCAGCTTCCTTGTAGCCCCTTCAGGCACTGGAAGGTGCTATAAGGGCTCCCCGGAGCCGGGCAGGGCTCCACAGCTCTGCTGCCGGGAAGAAGCAATGCCCGGAGCAGCCTGGGATGCGGGGAGGACAGGGAATGCAGTGAAGTCCACAGGCTGGGTGCAAGGTGGGGAAATGGCTCAGCTGCAAGGAGGAGGGGTGCGCAGGAAGCACGCGTGATTTGGGAGGGGAAGGAGGATCTCACATAGGAAATCTGAAATCTTGGAGTGGCCTGAAGCCTGGAAATGGTCTGTAAACACAAACCTCTCTTCCAGGTTTGGATTTACAACATCTGGCAATGGCTACGGGCTACTTTTTCACAGGAGGGGAGTTTTGTAAAGGGAACTCCCTTTCCCAGTGGTTTGCCAGAACTCCAAGACGATGCCAAGGATGGATCAACCCTCCAGCAGAGGCTCGAGGAAGAGGCCAAAACCTACTGTGAAGCCAGGCGGGGTCTGCGCAAGGACACGCTCTGGCTGCGCTTCCACTGTTTGTTCTTGCGGCGGTTCCGTACGCCGTCCTCCTGGTCCATCATCTGATCCAAGAGCGTCAGGTCGTCGGCGTTGAGCGGGGCCACCGAGATGTCCCTCACGGCGCGGAACTCGCCGCAGTTGTTCAGGTGCTCGTTCTCCAGACGGAAGAAATTCCACACAAACCGCCTGGGTGGGGAAGGAAAAAAAAAAAAAAAAAGGGTGGAAAAATTAGGGGCTGCGACACATTCCCAACACTCCGGAGAGTTCGTTGGGTTAATGATGACAGCCCTGCTCCGGACAGCACGGAGGCACCGGGTGCTACAAGCCAAACGCAACCACTGCCGCCGCGGGTGAGGGTCAGCTTCAAGGGCTTTTCCTCATGTGGAGAAGTTGGGGAGGGGGAGGTCTCCAGCTGGAGTACAAGCGTGGGAAGAGCCCTGAAACCTTGCAGGATCCGAATCGGCGTTTGGAAAAGCAGCAGGGGCTTGAGAGTCATTGTAAAACTGAGAACCAAGGGAAATTTCATCTGGAAATGTTAATCAGGTTAAGTTGAAGGAGAGATTTAATAGTACCAAAACCTTCAAGATCAGGTTTAGGTTCAGAAAAAACGGAGATGGCAGCACGAAGGACGCATCCCCGCGTTGCTGCGGAGCCCTCTACAGCTCCCTGCTCCCATTAAATCTTTCTGTTGGATCCAGCCTTCTTTTCCCCAGACCAGAACCTTGTGTGCCCAAGGAGCACGGCACTTCCCACCCCGCTGGCACCGTAGGAGCGATCCAACCGTAAGAGAGGAGTGAACTGTTCGGTCCTTACCGGAATACCTCAAGCGGGGCAAACACTGTGGAAATGATGTCCCCCGCGTAGAAAAAATTTGCATGGAAGTGAGGGAGATCTGGATGGTCCACGCAAAACGCAGGATCACGTCTTCTACGATGGCACAGTAGTAGTATGCCTGAAGGAGAAGACAGAAACAGGAGAGCTCGTCGTACGGAAGACGGATCTCTTCGGGGAGATACGGAATTTGCCGCTCAGCCACTGGAAAAGTGACCAGTGCGAAAGGAAACGAACTCTACAGCTAGAAAACCCCAGCACACAGCATTCCAACGGCTGACAACACGCCCCCCGCGCTCCAGTTTGGCTAAAACATTCAAGGCTCTCCCCGAGACAAGGGCAGGCTGCATACGCACTTTCTGTGGGTAGACGATTCCTTCTCGAAGAAAGGTGTTTTCACCAGCGTTTTTGTCAAAGAGACCCCAGTCCATCTTCAGGTCCCAAATAAGGGTGTAGCAAGAGCTGATGAAATAGAAGATAATCCACAGGTAGAAGAACACTTGGGTGTCGCTGTGGTTTTTAGCTGGAAAAGAGAAGAACAGCCTGTAGAACTTAAAGTAGGTCGCTCCTTCGGCTACAGATCATCTGATTTGAGCAGTGGAAATAACGCCCTTCTTATTCAAGTTCTGGGAAAAAAAACCAGGCTAGCTAATCGGAACCAACCCCAAAGTCTTACCGGGACCAGCTTGATACCGTCTTTTCAATTCAACATTTTGCACTTGGGATTGAAACCCGCGTTCAAAATCAAAATACTCTGATTTTCTGGAGCCCTGGGGCAGACCTGCCATTCTACCTCCGAACAGCAGGTGGAAGATGAGGGCCACGTTTCACGAAAGGCAGAGGCTTGTACAACGGGATAAAGCAGTGCTCAGCCAGGAGGGGTTTGGGGGAGAATATTTCAGTTCGGCTAAATAAAACCAACTGGGGAGCGGTGCGCTGAAAGCCTGAAGGAGGATGGAGGAATTTCTACTGGTTTCAGAGGTTGTGGTGGCAGGGGAAAATGAGGAAAAAGAAGGGAATACATTGACATTGATGTACAAACCCTGACGGAGGCTCTGAGCTCTGTTTGGAAGCACACAGGTTGCGAAACACAGGACTGTGGGTCCAGAGGCCGCTCAACTCCCCGATACGTGTTCACAACGAAACTGCATCCCACTGTTCTCCCCTGCAAAGGTTACGCCGCGCTCTGGATTCGGCTAAATTTCTCTAAATCGGTCAGCTGGGCGAAAACGAACAGATCCGACCATTCCGTTGGCTTTTAATACCCAAAGACGGGTGATAAAGTTTGTGAGAAGGAAACACGTTACAAGGCTCGGCGAGGCTGAGACGCTTTGCCTCTCCCCGCTGTCGGGAGTCCTTCCTCCCTTCCGTGCAGCCGCTGTAAGGGCTCATTCACCGCTTCTTTCTAAGAAAACACGCGCGGTACAAATAAGGTTTCCAGCCCCGACCCGATGACACGCGAAGCGACAGCGCCGTTTTCCACGGCCGTGGCTTCAGAACCGCAGAATCCCCCAAGCTGGCCACAGAAGGAGCAACGGGGGGCAGTTTGCTCTCCCCTTCCCTTTCCGTCTCCAGCGTTTACGACAGAAACGTAACGCAGCGACGCGATAAAATTAATGGAGGTGAAAATGAGAGGCATCGTGTACGAGTACATTCCTCCCATTACGCCATTCAGGCTTCCTGGCCGTGATGGGCAGGATATAGGTCAAACACACACACTCATTCTCCTTTCAAAACACTCCCCCTGAGAGCAAACCTATTAAAGCCACGTACGTGGCGAAGCCGAAGCGTAGCAGGTGGAGAGGACCACGAGGTCTGCTGCAGCTCCCAGGTTTTCCTAGCTTCCCTGCTTTTGGGCAAGGGGAGAAGCCTTTGGGCAGCAACCCACACCCTCCCGAAGCTTGGCTCTACCCGGGGACGGGTCTCGCATGTCATCACGCGTCGCTGTGGAGAGCCACGATGTCCCCGGGAGCAGGCAGAGAAGTCCGGCGGAACGCGGGCTTCGACAATGCCCGGGCACATTCCTTCATCCTGCTGCTCCGAAACCACCTCTCCCATCCGTTTTTAAAGCGCAGCAGCCCACGAAATGGGACACTGGTGAGGATTTTGGCGCTTAGCAATTAGGACTCTACTGCAAGATTTCCTTCTCCTCCAAAGTCTCCACTGCATTATTTCGGGAAGAAAAGCCAGATGCTGACATTCAGTGACTCAGAGACACTAACCCTGTTCTTCCCAACGTTATTTTTAGCTCATTAGATCTCCATGTTGAGTTCCCACTACCAGATCCTAAACAATAAGTCACAGGTTAAGCGCTTTCAAAGCACCTAAAATGTTCCAAACTGCCCTGGGAGGCTGCTTGCTTCCCATCAGTACCTCAGGCTTGGCGGTTAGGTCATGCTGCTGTTTTCCCTTAAGGACAGAATTCAAGTAAACCGAGTCTTACTCCACGGAGTATCTTCATGGAGCAGACCTGGGGAAGGCAGCGCAGATGGCACCAGTCATTGCCATGCCTTCGGCCACATCCCTGGGAAGCGGCATTGCGGGGTGCTCCTGCGGGGTTCTCTGGTACGGAGGGGACATTCGGGCCATGGACTATCACCTCAAGCTATGTTAGGGGCTAACAAAACCGCATCCCAAGTCAGCAATTACATAGGAAGGGGATTTCAAAGGCTGATGCTGCTTAAACCAAATTCAGCTTTAAAGCTTCTTGTGTGAAATCACGGAAAGCAGGAGTGCCGGGAAGAAAAAGGCCCGAGTAAGGAATCTTGTGGCATTAACCTCATCAACCTCAAAAGGATGCGCTTGCCTCTAGTTCGGCTCTCATGGCCTCAGCTCCCCTTCCCTGCCCCCAGCTGCACAGCGGCCCTTCCAGTGGCACCTGGGGTCAGGCCGCTTGCCCCTCGCTCGCTTGCTCACCGACCGGCTGGGTAACGCAGTCAGCTGCTGAACAAAGTCATTAAAGATCCAAATGACTCCCTGGTAAAATGATCTGTATCAGAACTGGCTTATTGTCTTCAGCCTTGGCCTCCGAGTCCCTTCCTTTAATGGCTCATCCTCCTTTTCCTCCTGCCTGCAATTCCGTGTGATACCTTCCTTCCTTCGCTCCTCATTGGTATTCTGCTGGCGTACAGAAATATGTTACTGCTCCAGGCAAGCAATTATATCTCAATCTCCACTGGCTGGTCCTGGTGGCCCTCTTCACCGCTGCTCAGGGGGCCAGAAAATCAAGGCATTCATATTCTGCCCAGAGGCTCCATCTACTCCTCGCCTGCCAGTTTTCCAGCGGCAATAGGTAGCTGTGCATATGTATGATGATGTCAGGGTCTATTTAAGCAGGAATCGTTTCATCCTGCGTTTCTTTGTTTAATCAATGTGCTAGAACGCACCAAAACCCATTAGAGAGCGACGGTCTCAGGATGAGAGAAGCACTCATAGACCTCAACCTCTCCAAGACGGGGGGAAAAAAGACCAGGAATTCCACGTCAGCAACCCGACGGCAGCACAACCAGCACAAGGTGGATGAAGGACCTTTCTACTCCATGCTCCGAAGGGCATCGCCCCGTCGCAGCTTCCTAAGCCGCAGTTACTCGCAAGAGCACGTGCAGGGCAGAACGCCGTCAGCGCAAAACCCGATGCGTCGAGCTGCCGGCGCAGCGTCTTCGCGCGCACGTTCGCCTCGGCACGTCTGCCACGCGGAGCTGTTCAGGCTATTCCGCTTGGCTACTATCGCGTGGTGGCAGGCCAGACGGCGCCGGGCGGCGGAGCCGATGGGAAGCAGGGTACCGCAGGGGCCGGGCGCAACCTCCGCTGCGGAATTTCCATCGGCACCCCCGGTTTACCCTAGGAAAGGCAATTCCCGCAGATCCTCTGCACGAACGCACCTACGCGTTGCCCCAGAAGGTCAACGCCATAAACAACGGAAGGCGTCCTTCCACCTCTGAACTGAAGCTGAGCACGGGCACCGTCCCAGCAAACAGCCAAAGGCACTGGCGGCAGCAGAATTTACTGCCTGCAAAAACTGCGGAGAGGCAGCATTTTGGATCCCAGGCCCGGCCCCGGGGGACGCAGTATCTGAGCAGCACTGCAAGAGTAAAACCGTGTGGGAATTACAGCCCCTGCTAAGCCCGAGCAGGAGAGAGGCGCTTTTCCCATCAAAGACAGACAGCAAATACTATCCTGAACGCTGTTAATATTGACTTTCCCTCCAAAGGCTACTGTTTACCCTGCTGAATTATTCCAGGGCATGTAAACACCATATAGTATTCAACACAGCACAAATCAATGCCATGTATTATTGAAGATCCGGATAAGAGCACAATGGCCCACGATAAGCACTCCTGGTGTGTCAGCCGCTGCAGCTGGCTGCGGTCTCTGCCCACGGCGAAAGTGGCGATAAAAGCTGCTAAGAAGTGGGAGGTTATCAGGAAACACGGTCAGGTAAATCCTGCTACGCCACCGAACTGACCCAGCCCCAGCAGTTCTGCCTCCAGCATCAATTCAACACCTCTTGATGCACAAGGGAAATTCAGTCTCCTTCGGTGAGCAGCTCGTCAACCGTAGATTTCATAGACTCACGGAACGGTTTGGGTTGGAAGGGACCTTAAAGATCACCCAGTTCCAACCCCCCTGCCATGGGCAGGGACACCTTCCACTAGACCAGGTTGCTCCAAGCCTCATCCAGCCTGGCCTTGGACACTTCCAGGGATGGGGCATCCACAGCTTCTCTGGGCAACCTGTCCCAGTGCCTCCCCGCCCTCTCCGGGAAGAATTTAAGCGGGATCAAACCAAAAGAGTATGTATTCACAGTGTGCTAGCCATGCACAGGTACCAGAGAGGCTATCTGCTGCAACCTGGATGACATCTGCCTGTTGACTCCATCCCAGCACACAACGGGCGGGGGGTGACAGCCAGAAATGACTTATCTACATAAGAACCGCCGTCAGGATGACACCCCAAAGCGTTCGTCTAACACCTCACCGCTTGAAGCGCGGCAGTGCTGCTCCCTCGGTAATTACACAGCTTAATGAGGGAAGAGCAGCAGCCGCTGCCTTTCTGCCCAGGCGGCACGTACGGCTATCGAACACTGATCAGTGGCAGAGCCATGACGTGACAGTGGGCTGAATGCAGCGACAAAAAGAGGCAAATAACCCGGCGGAGCAGGCAGAGGACTGGCCAACGTGCCCTGATGGGCTCTGTCAAATCCCAACCATTTAGGGGATAACCTTCCCGTTAGATTCTGGAAACCTCTGCTATAGCCTCCGGGTGCAGTCTAAAGCAAAGCAGCAGGATACCATGAGGTGAAGGTCTGTCAGGAGGCAATATTCTGTCTCTTCTTCTACTTAGACTGCATGTTTGTAGGGCAAGGAAAACCCCAAATCCTGTTTTGACCAAACAACGGTGTCTAATTTCAAGGTGCAGCAGCGATCTCACAGCTCGGATCCCACAAAGAGAAGAATGGGATTGAACTGCCAACAGGAGGAAGCATATCGCACTCCGATTCTCCTCCTGGTGGCTTCTCTATCA